CATATTTGACTGCAATTTGAGTCCCAGACATTGCAGCTTGAAACTCATGCTAGGCGTGTGTCCATGTATGCCCAAAATCCCAAGAGGAGAATGGGGGAGAAGGGATTGTGCATGGCCATCCTCCTGGAGGACGATTTCTTGCTTTGGATCTCTTTGTCTCTCTCTTTCTGATGAGTGCACACGCCCTATAGCAAAAATCTCTCAAAAAATTTTCAGGGGGATATTCCCAATATATCCCATTTAACGCTCCTGTTTGACCTACGTAGAAGAGAGATGAGTCATGGAGAACAACAGTGGATTATTATAACCTTCACCAAATGGTGACTCTAATTGCAACTGTTCTACCAGATGTAATTTTATTGCTTTAGTTAGCATATCCCCGAAGAGTAAATTGTTGCATGTGATCCCTTCTACAGCCAAAAAATCCAGATACGATATCTAACGGTTCTCTAGATTTTAAAGGCAATGTATTCTCACTTGGGCATATTACTCCAGTCTATTTACCAAGTGACCAGAAAATATGCTGGCTTTGAGTGGGTCCCAGAACAAGACAAGGGTCTGCAACAAGGCCAGGCTGCTGTGCAAGTTGTACTGCTATTTGGGCCATATGATCTTGTAGAACTAACAGTACCCAAAGTGGCAAGCAGGAATAATGTCTGGAGTTCTGGGCAGGCTACATCGGTGAACCACAGTGCAGGATGTTAGGACTTTTGGAGCAATACCTTGCTATCATTCACCAATAATTAGTCTCCTTTTAAGAGACAGCTCTTGGCCTGCTCCTGGGCCTTATCAGAAACTAAACTCTTGACCACAGGCCACCAAGTTACTATATGACCTGAGTTGCCTATCATGAACTAGATGTTATCTGCCCCATCAAGCCAGAAAGCTGAGTGTGCACAGCAGAACTCCATCACCAGGTGGAAGTGGGTATACTCGTGATTTAGCCTTGAAGGCACAGGTAAGTTGTGGGAAGAGTAGGCCCAAATTCCTATGGACCCCTCTCCTGCTACATGGCCTTCTCTCTCCTAGCATGCACCTGTGGCCCCATAGGGAGCTCCTACAATTAATTAACTGAAGAGAAGACTCAGGCCTGCTTCACAGATGGTTCTGCGCAGTATACTGGTAAGAGGATAGCTGTGGTAATGGCCCTCTCTGGGATATCCCTGAAGGATGGTAGTGAAAGGAAATCCCTAGTGGGAAATACTTTGAACCTTTTACCTGGTCATGTACTTTTCTTGGAAGGAAAAAGGGCCAGACATATGAATATATACAAATTCATGGGTTGTGACCAATAGTTTGGCTGGATGCTCAGGGACTTGGAAGGAACATCATTGGAAAATTGGTTATGAGGACAGTTAGGGAAGAGGTGTATCTCTGAATGGGCAAAAATGTAAAGATATTTGTGTTTCATGTGAATGCTCACCCAAAAGTGACCTCAGGAGAGGAGAACTTAATAACCAAGTGGATAGAATGACACTTTCTATGGATAGCAGTCAATCTCTCACCCCAGTCACCCTCACCATTGCCTGACAGACCCATGAACAAAGTGGTCAGGGTGGCTGGGATGGAGATTAAGTATGGGCTCAGCAACATGGACTGCCACTTACCAAGGCCAACTTACTTATGGCTATGGCTGAATGCCCAATCTCACAGCAGCAGAGACCAGTACTGAGCCCCTGTTATTGCACCATTCTCTAGGGTGACCAGCAAGCTACCTGGTGGCAGATTGATTTCATTGGGCCACTTCTGTCATGGAATGGGTAGTGTTTTGTCCTTATTGGAGTAGACACTCTCCATACAGATTTTCCTTCCCTGCACACAGTGCTTCTATCAAACCTACTATCCATGGACTTATAGAATGCTTAACCCACTGGTGTGGCACACTACACAGCATTGCTTCTGATCTAGGAACTCACTTCACAGCAAATGAAGAGAAGCCATGGGTTCATAGTCATGGAATTCACTGCTATCACCATGTTCCATATAATTCTGGTGCACCTGGCTTGATACAGCAGTGGAATGGACTTTTTGAAGACTCACTTCCAGGACCAGCTAGACAATACCTTGCGGGGGATGGGGGCAGAGTTCTCCAGGAGGTTGTGTATGCTCCAAATCAGGATCCTATACATGGCGCTGTTTTTCCCGTAGCCAGGACTCACGGGTCTAGGAATCAAGGAGTGGAAATGGGAGTGGCACAACTCACCATTACCCCTGGTGGCCAAACAACAATTTTTGCTTCCCATTCCTGTGACCTTATGCTCTGCTGGCTTACAGGTCTTAGTTCTGGAGGGAGGAACGCTCCCACCAGGAGACACAGCAAGGATTCCATGGAACCTAGAGATTAAGACTGCCACCAAGCCACTTTGGGTTTCTCATGTCACTGAGTCAACAGGCTAGGAGGAGAGTTACCATGTTGGTGGGGATGATTGATGTGGATACTGAGAGAAGATTAGACTAATCATCACTGCAAGGAAATGTATGTCTGGAATACAGATCCATTAGAGTGTCTTTCAATATTGCCATGCCCTATGATTAAGTTCAGTGAAAAACAATAACAACCTAGTCCATGCAGGTTTACTGATAACTGAAATCCTTCAGGAATAAAGGGTTCTTTCACCTTACCAGGTAAAGAACTATGAAAGCTTAGATACTTTCTGAAGGCAAAGGGAACTCAGAATGGGAGAAGGTAGTTGCAGAAACCAGCTAGGACCCCATGGTGAGTTAAAGAAGTGAAGACTGCAGTTTTTACTAGCATTTCTTACTGATTTTGTTATGCATATGTATGTGTGTGCGTGTATATAGTGAATATCTGTGTTCCTTTTCTTGCTTATCCCTTTCTCATGTAGCACAGACATATTGACCTTATATCATAGTATTTAAGTTATGGGGTTGATTATGTTATCAAGGAGAAGAGTAAATGTCACTCAGGGACTTGGCTCCTCTTCTGAGGCAGGGGCTAGTGCATTTTCAGTTGTGTCTGGGACAGCTGGATCATGGTTGATGAGATCATGACCTTGTTACTGTCTTTATTTGGAGATTTCATGTGGTTTAAGGAGATGCATGTGCATGCCATGTTGCTAAGCAGTGGTGGACATGTGATGGTTAATTTCACACGTCAACTTGATGGCCATGAGGTCGCCAAGATATTTGGTCCAACATTATTCTGGGAGATTCTGTGAGGGAGATTTTGGAAGAGATAAGCATTTAACCAACATTTAAGGAGGTAGACTAAGCAATTTCTGTTAAAGATATTTTGTAGTTCAGTCAACTGGACTAGGGAGAAATGTTCACATGTTGAAATATTCGCTTTGTAAGCTCAATAATGTGATTGACTGTATAAAAGAAAATGAAATTAAAGATAAATAAAAAAATAGAAAATGGCTCTTTCTAATGTGGAGTGGGCATTATCCAATCAATTGAACAACTACATAGAGCAGAGAGGCTGACCTCCTGAGTAAGAGAAAAATCTTGTTTGAATATCTTTGGCTTTTATTTTTACTGCTTCAGACTTGAATTGAAACATTAGCTCTTTCTGGGTCTTGAGCTTGCCAGTCATTGGGTGGGAACTACACCATAAGCTCTCCTGTGTCTTAAACTTGCAGTCTGGTCCTGTAGGTCTGGGGATGTGTCCACCTCCACAATTGTGGGGACCGTTCTTCACAATTGGTCCTCACCTCTTGGTTCTGTTTCTCTGAGGATGCTGGCTAACACAGCTTTGGTCTGGGAAAGCAGCAGATGAAATGATGCTCATGCCCTTGGCACAACTGGTATAGAAATAAAATGGGGAAAACATCTTGTTTGGGGGCTTTTATTCTACTTGAGTATAAAAAAAAAAATCCAGAAAGTGACCTGAGTGTTCTAAGTATTAGCTGCAGAGAAAAACAAGGAAGAAAATTATACAGCCCAACAGAGTTCTGGGGAAGCAAAGACGAGGGGAGGGCACTGTGGGAGCGCCAGGCACACCCCCTGACATGTGCTGAGCCCCAGCCTCCACTCAAGGGCTGCTGATTATGAAACATGCAGTAAAAGAAAAGAAGCTTAATGTTCTTTTAAAAAGTAAGTTTACAGAATAATTGAGTCAAAAATTTTTTTTTTTTCTAAAGCCCATGTCCCCATTTCCTGTTGCAAAAAGCATATATAGAGCATTCATGGCTTGTGAAAATTGCTTTATGAAATGGAAGACCACAAGAGCAGGTTGCCTGATGTCCTTCTAACCACAACTGGGGGCCACAGGAACCCCGGGGGGATGCTTGCCTCCAGAACAACAGAGCAACTGGTGCCTGTTTCATCTATCATGCCAGTTAAATGAGCACAGTATGCAAGAACCAATCAGGGCCCAGAGGAAGCCCCTGGCCGCTAGGGGAGTTCTGCCATGTCTGTGCTTAAACTTGTACGCTCCAGAGAGCTGCTGGGTCTACGCTTCCCTGCCGTCAGACACAGATCCTGGGGAAAATGTGAAGTGGGGTGTGGTTACGGAGTAGACCTGGAGCCACTGTCCCATAACCTCACTCAGACACCAACACTGCTTCCGTCTCCTCTCCTTCCAATTCTCTACCATGGATCCCCCAAATGGAAGTCTTTTGATAAGTTGGTGTGGTACCTGATATTTCAGAACAGAGAAGGAACAATTTCAGTTGACATCAAGGGAGGTAAATTGTTAACATGGGCATTGCCTCTCTCATGAGTACTTGGAAAGA